ATTTATAAGTTAGTTTTTAACTAAATAAATACTTAATCCAAAATTTTACAAATTTTTTACGCGATGACATGGCAGAGGCAATTTTTATATAAAACTTTCCAAAATTTGGGAACATGTTCGATTGTTGTTCAGCGAGACAGGTAGAACAGTGTTGCAGCATGCATAGATATCGTCAGGTATAAATTTCATTTTGAAAGTTGGTTTCGTAATTTTGTGCCCGTGTGAACCTAATTTCATATCAGTATCATTATTCAGCATTTATTTGGTTGAATTACCAAGGCTTTCTTAACTTTCCGGCGTCGAAAGTGTTTTTTAACGGCGTGTTCTTTTCGTTTGGACCAACAACTTGTCCTTTTTTACTCCCTGTTACACGGCATTTGAGTTCATTTCACATTCCTTCTTCACCACCACTGGACTTTTCTTTTGTCATCGATTTCGCTTTCTTTGCTTGTCCATTCTCATGTAGATCATCATTGCGCTCTCTTGTCAAGTTATTGGTGTGTTGCTGGTATTCCCTTGTGCAATTGAGATCGCAGTTTCCAGGTAGAGTGTGGATCCACCTTTCTTATTTTCATTTTGGTCGTATGGCTTCTTTGACATGCATCACCTGGACCCGACGTGCAGTTTTTAGATCTCAATACCAGCCGTATTCCACATTTCCGGCGATGCTCTGCAGCTTCTCGCTTAAATTTTGTACATATGGAACAACAGTGTTGGTACTGGATTTCTATTGCTCACGTCTAATTCTTTCCTTTTCTGTTCATCATTTGCTGGTTGCTGATTATTTCTTCTGTTAATTACTGTTTCTGAGAGCTCTTCGCGTGTACATCGGTTCTTTCTGAAGACCTATGTTATACGAGCTCAGTTCAAAACATCTGCTAGCTGTGTGTAAAGTTTCCGATAGAATGACCGGAATTTATTACAATGTATTGGCTTGTGAAGCACTCCAGTAACGTTCCTGATCCCCTTTCTCGCAATATTTAATCAAATGTGTATTATTATAAATGTTATAGCATGTTGAACTAGCATCGGAATCACGACTTCTTCGCTTGTAGGTCGGTATGCCGACTTCTTGACTAATGTGCCGCAGGATAGATTCGCATGAAGGTCTCTCTTGGCAAAAGCACATTCAGTACGACACGACACAAGGGAACATGATGAACCACAAATTATTGATTATACAGAGGGTCTCGCATTCTCGCGTCTTGAAATCCAGACCATTGAGTTTACTAAGTAACTGAGAATTGTACCGATTGAAAAATTATCATAGTAAAACCGCACCTCCTACTCGATAGATACAATGAGCATCGAAAATGAACATATCAAATGAACACAGTTATTATTACTAATACATATTTACTGAATTTAATGGTATGTCATTAAAAATATTTAGTAAGTCAAAAATTGCAGCCGATAAATGACATAGCACAGTTATACTTTGCATGGCCTCTAGCGATTTGTGCTTGCTTCATATATTTGTGATAGCCAGTCAGTTATAATTAGGAACTAGTCATATTTAATACGACGGATTTTTGTTTGGAATATTTATTTGGCTGGCAAATTTAATGTGCATTTATGTAATAATTACTTAATACTTTACTGTTAATTTTTAATATTTATTACATGCTAATTTAATTGTTTCTGTAGTCACTTACATATTGAATTAAATAATAGCCATTGTCAAAAAAAAGTCATATAAAATTAGATATGTGATTAAAATGAACGTTCAGGGCACTGTCTCAATCGAACTTTCCAGAATTATTAAATTAATTTTTTATTTACTTGCTTATAAATGTGCAATGTTTCACTGGCTATTAACAACGTTTGCTCCCATTATTCTGTGTCAATTCGACGAATTTTTGTAGCCCTGTCTTGCATTCCAGCATGAGTAATATTTGCAAGGATTTTGGAAACAGCATAAAATACGATTTGATTATCCACAACCAAAACAGTATTGTTAATCGG